ACAGTGGTGTTGATGTGGGACTGCATGAGCGGTTTAGTAGTTTGAGTCTCAGAAACTCTTCCCTGAATGATCTTAATATTTCATTATCAAAGTCACATAGCCAGGGCTGTTCTCATACTTCGGAATCAACTTCGCCCCCGCACACTTCTGAGCAGATCATACGACAGCCTAATATTCCTGGACCGGGATTTGAATTGTACTTCAGTCAAGATGATGATGGCGACACGTAAGTTGACAGTGATCATTTTAGAACTGATTGAAAGTACCCTTGGAAATTTTCCTTGGTCTTCTGTAGTTAATTCTTGTGCAAAGATTAGAAAGAAGGACGCAGAAACTTTTAAAGTAAACAGGGAGATGAGCAGAGCAATCAATATGCAGCATTTTAATGTTCTGGGCCTTTATTGAACATGTGTTACAATTTCAGTCAGTTGGTTAATCTTTAGGGCGTTTTCAGGAAAAACAAGTCTCTCTTTTTTTTTCAGTGTTTATTTACATTGTTGGCACACGAAGTTTTGAAGAAATTTAAAATAAAAACTGTAGCATCATGAAAGTTTCTGCAGCTGTTTTTCTTTAATTCTAATTTAATGTTATGCGTCCTTTAGACAATAGCAGGTTCAGAATTAATGTAATGAAGGCTGTGGTTTTTGTATTTGTTAAGTTCCCTTTAAAAAAGTATGGAAATTCTTTACAGTTTATTAACATGAGTTTGATAAAGAGGAGAGTAAATATGTGCCTTATCTCTCTTTATCTTGGGGTATAGATTTTACTGCTAGCAATTTATGTATTTATCCCTGAATATTTCATAAGTATATCTTGGTTACCTCCTAAAAAACCCAAGATTCTTTTATGTGGAATGGTATTTTTTGTGCACATTTCTGTATGTCTCTCGTCTTTTACAGACAACTGCACATAGCGATCGTTGAAGGATTCATTGAAGTTGTGTACAGCTTAATTAGAATCATTCCTTTGCCGTGCTATCTTGACATCCTGAATGATTTGGTGCAGGTACGTTTAAATATTACTTAACACAAATGCCGTAGAACTGATGGGTTTTTTTTTAAAGAAAATAGAACGAGTGATACAATTTTCGATGCTAGTGCTGAACTGCATAATACGAGATTTAACTTTCGTTAATGATTCACGTGCATATGTCGAGGTGTTCACAAGTGAAGTGTGTCCTAGTTCTTGATTTTTGGTGACGTTAATAAAGCATTTTGATGTCACACAACTATTTTCCTATGTATAGTGTAAAATATAATAACAGTAAATGCGGAGGGGCCCACATAAATGTATACACACTTGAATAGATGTTATCTATGGACATTTTTTCGAAGTTGAATCGATTTACGGTAGCAATGTGTAGTATGATGTTCTCTCAAAAGATGTCGTTGGTTACACGAATGCTAGAGTCACCATGCGACCTACAAGACGGTAAAAAAAAACATGGCTGAAGCTCTGTTTTTGTTTTGTTGAAGTGTTTATACATTTTTTTTGGGGGGGGGGGCCTCTGTATATTGGAGCCAAACACATAAGATTACCATGTGCAGCGCGTCATGGCAAAGGTTGAGAACACCTGATTTAGCTGTTGCAGTTAAGTCCACGACGAAAACAATAATAAGAACAGCAAATGTTACCAATTCTTTACCATTATTTATTTTTGTTTTCCATATGTAAATGTGACAATAGTGTTAGTGGTTTTATTTATATACAGTTTTAAGTAGGGCATTCACTAGGTATTAATAATGGCTCCATTCGTAAAGTATTCGTTGCCCAACATTTATTTACGTAATGTGCCATTGTTGAAGAACGTTATGTCAGTGTTGCGTGAAGGTTTATTGAATAGTATTGAAGAAATCTCGTGGCTGTAGAAAACATTTTATAACTAGTAAGATTTGATGTTTTCACAGCGGTTGCAAGCAGTGATGATACTTACTTTAACATGTGTCGAGACGTAAAGTACATTTAACTGTAGTTTTAAGCCATTGGATAATGTTTATCTCATTAATTTTTGGATTGTAATTGCGTGTTAAGGATTGAGGTAAATTAAAAGTTCGTTTGGTGTGTGTTTTCGTCTTCAGACTCCTCTGCATTTGGCAGTATTAACACATCAGGCTCGCATCGCACGATGCCTCCTAGTTGCTGGAGCGAACGTGTATATCAGAGATAGTCGTGGCAACACGGCACTCCACCTCGCATGTCAGACAGGAGACTTAGAATGTGTAAAAGCTTTGACGGAACCCGTCACTGTAGCAGAGACAAATTCTGCAAACCTAAAGTATGCCGGATTCATGCAACAAGTTCCTCAGAACCTTGAAGAACGCAACTACGACGGTAAGTACCAGAACCTTTTGTTTTGTCAGTTGAATAATTTCGACGTCAATTACGAGAAAGTTTTTATCCTTTATTTTTTTTTTAGGAGTTTGGCGATTAAAGAAGTAGGATTTTAATGAATTTGAATATGTTTTATGTTTGTGAGTTGGTACTACTGGTCGTTTGAGCAGAGAATATTATCTACTTTACTATATAACACAGATTACTTCAGGTTTTCACTTCTCATGCAGAGGAAAACAATGGCAGAAGTACCAGTTTCAGAACAGTCACTTTAAATGCTACCAAGGTTAACGCATTAAACAACTTTGCGGTATGAGGTCATAAGTTCAAGGAATTACGTATGTTGTCACAGTTACGTGGCCGGAAATTTTCAGTTAGAAATCAGGAATTTAATTCACAAAAGAAATTAAGAGCGGACTGAATTCTTGCCGCCATTTTGTTCAGAATCTTTGGCGTCGTGTGTCTTCCGCACAGAGTAACAAATAGTAATTGCAAATGTTACGTATGGATAGAAAAAACAAATTACGTGATAAAGAAAACTTTTACGTGATGTTTTTTTAGGATCAGATCAAGAGAATATGGGCAGAAATGTGGGAAATGATGTTTGGTGAGAGGATTGTGAAATTCATTATATCTTAAAGAAATTGTTTTTTGTTTTTTTTTCATTTTACTGTGGACTGAGCTGCTTAAGCTTTTGAGGAAGGACTCTTATGCTCGGAATGTGTGAGTGTGAAAGTAGAGTTGGAGGAACTAATTAGCATTCTAGTGAAGGATATTAGGATATGGAAGCCCCTTCCTTCGGATTCCCCCATGTACAAACATTTCTGGAAATCGCTTATTAAGGAATTTCCATGCCTTCTGGGCATTTCTGTGTCCTTAGCCGACTCGTATGTTGTCGGTTCAGATTTCCCACTTGCGTGTTTGTTCCACAACCTTTTTTTTTTTTTTGCGATCAGTCTTCGACTGTTTCCAAGTGCGTCGTGTTCACGTTTAAGACACTTTGCCCCCATATCCGGATGACTCTTAGCTCCCTGAACTTTGCATTCAGAGGCGTACTAAAAAGTCCATGGGTTCGAGTCTTTCGTACATAACACCGGAGTTTGTACCCGGAGTAAATGAAACACTGAGAGTTGTTTTCTCAAGTTGCTGCTGTATCGGCCTTGAAAAGGCTGAATCATTCGTGGCCTCACTTCGTCGTGGCCTATTGAAGAAAAAAATGTGTCATCGGGATTTTTCCGTGTTTTCCTCGAGGGCGAAGCGAAGTTGACGATCACGTGACTGGAGGAATCTTTACCAGGGCTAAGGAAAGAAATGAGTTAACCGTAGTAAATAAACCTTTTGGCATTACACGCTATCAGCATTCAGAGCGCAATGCAGCGTGTTCTTATTTGTGATAGCGTTTTGGGATTTTCGCATCTCGTATCTTATCAGTTGGAATTCGTTGTGTGCGTCATTTAACGGGTTTCATCCGTCATTGGGAAAAGCCTTTAGTGCACTGGACAGCTGTGGTTAAGATTCTAAGTAAAGTTTTTCTCAAGTCACCTTCCACATTTCACTGCGATAGAAAGGTTCATGTACTCCAGAGGCCTCGGAAGTTGTCCAGTCTGAACAACTTCCGTAAATAACCTAACATTACAGCTATAATTTAATCATGATGGCGTCATCCATTGTTTTGCATAAACGTATGAGGTGCAAGGTTCTGTGAGGGCGGATAGGCCGACATAAAACCCCCTGGAAGTGCTGTACAGGGGAGCCTTGCCCCCTTTCTGGGAGGACAGATGCAACCCAACACATCAAACATGTGTTCTCGCGCGTCAGTAGCTTCGAGTTCGTCACGTGACGCAGCATTGTGCAACTCGTACGCGTTTGCTGTTCGTCTGAGTATATAATACTGTAAACCTTTCTCTAACGGATATACAGGTTGCCCCCAAAAGATATACACACATTACAATACGGAATATTAAAACACATCGTTTTGTGACGATCTTCAAGTCAGTGGACCTCCATAATCTAATTATATCTGACGAAAGGTTTAGAAAGTAGAGGAATCGATAGTCCGCCATGTTTTTTTTAAAGATAGTGATAGATGAGTTTACGTTGAGCTCGAGATACAGCGGGCAAATACGGGAGCATGGGAGGTTTTTTCGTTGGCCTATGTCTCGGGACGTTTTTGAAACCGGTATCCCCCCCCCAAAAAAAAAACGTATGTACGCTGTCCGGAAAATGAACGATGATGCTTGAATGTTTGAAACGAGAAAATAATTAACAGAAGTTGAACGTTCGTGTTCGTTGTCGAAAACATCTCGCGTGATATGATCTTTTAATATACTTTAATTTCTGGTTCTTGGCGACGGGATTTCCAAGTGCCTTTTCTGTTCTGTGGCGAATGAAAATATCTCAGGCACGAGAATCCAGGGATGTCGTGAGGAGGTCGATGCCCCTCGGCAAGACCGGTATATTCATCACATTCTGAAAGCTCTTGAGCGCGGGCGCAGACAGAGAAATTATCGTCTGACGCTCACATTCGAGTCTCCTCGACAGTCAGCCAGCAACGTCGTCGATTATATCTTTAATATTATCTTCTCATCACTGTGTAGGTCCCATAGGTTTAGTTCTTGGTAAAAAATTTTGTATGCATTTCTCATGTTCCCGTAACTTCTCACCAAAGTCCTTGATAAGTGCCTCGGGTTTATAGAAATTGATAAAATGAATGGTAATAATGAGATATAGGCTGGCTCTCTCTCTACGCACGTAGGGGAACACATCAGCTGTTGAGACGTACTGAATGTCGTATTTCTGGTCTGATAATGTGCGAACTGCGCATGCGTCAACTTCAGCTAAGTTTAACTGTGATGGCTGTCCAAATTTCGTGGTCACGCGAGTTTTTCATCGTTTACAAGACGAAGTATTAATGCTAACGACGCTTGACTGTACTCAAGCGAATGTATATTTAGTCGGGACTGTCTTGGCAGTGGAATGTCCAAATCGTGGCCTGGTACCTCGGAAGCGAATGGTCTCGAGTGCTGGGAAATCCCACAGGAAGATATAAACATTGTTTACGCGAGCTCCTCGCTGACTATTTTCGAAACAGCTGTTATGTGAAGGCAAGGTTTTCCCCTGAGCTTTTGTCTAAGTACCGCGTCCTGAAGACGTATAAGGGAGTGGAGATGTAGATCAAGCTATTCTTAACACCGGCTCTACACGCCAAAGACCCCGTTTTAATAGCGTCTTTGCTGATCGTAACATTTAAATGCTGCATAGGATAAGTTCAGGCATTCAGTTTAATAATTTACATAGCATTGGCGAAATATAATTTTAAAAATTTCAGAGAAATTTACAGTTACAACTAACATAACTGTTATTGGTAATGCGTCAGAGAAGGCAGATTAACACAGACAAATTTAAATAAACCATTACGACAGAATGAAAAATTACGATCACCGAACAGATCCTGAAATACAAACCGAAAGGATTCAGAGGTCGACGTAGACCTTGAAATTGACGGAGTGACTGTGTGAGGTCGGAACTGGCGTGGAATGAAGAACAAGGCACTGGTAATTAAGGCTTTGACCGGGATGTTCTTTTGTTAAATCTTATGTGGTACCGCCTGATTCGACTTCTAATGGTTAAGTGAAGTGTTTTCTTCGCGGTACGGTCTGGATTCGTAAATATTATGAAGACGAGCTTCGGCTTCAAAGGGTTAACCAGCTGATTTTCGTAATGGTGAGGTGTAGTGTTTTCTTCGCGGTACGGACTGAATTCATAAATAATATTCAGACGATCTTCGGCTTCAAAGGGTTAAAGATTTGTTAAATCTTATGTGGTACCGCCTGATTCGACTTCTAATGGTTAAGTGAAGTGTTTTCTTCGCGGTACGGTCTGGATTCGTAAATATTATGAAGACGAGCTTCGGCTTCAAAGGGTTAACCAGCTGATTTTCGTAATGGTGAGGTGAAGTGTTTTCTTCGCGGTACGGTCTGGATTCGTAAATATTATGAAGACGAGCTTCGGCTTCAAAGGGTTAACCAGCTGATTTTCGTAATGGTGAGGTGAAGTGTTTCCTTCGCGGTACGGTCTGGATTCGTAAATATTATGAAGACGAGCTTCGGCTTCAAAGGGTTAGAAACCAGTCAGTTAGGGCAGGTACTGCCTGCGTACGAATGCATTAAACACTTTGGCGAGGAAGGTTACCACGCCTTAGGACCCTATTAGGAACGTTTGGGCCCGTAGCCTCGCCAACTTTGAGACCCCTTATGTCTTGTAGGACCCTTCAAGGGCCGCGGGTCGACACGCGTTCGGGTGCAGATGCCGCTAAGGCGTTTTGGTTACCGCTTGTCGATTGCCTCCTCGACGTTTAAGGCGGGATTCCTTTGGAGTCTGCCTTCAAGGCAAGCCAGGAATGTTACCCACGAAGTCGGGGTCTGCTCAGTGGATCTTGAAAGGATGTTCGACTCGTGGCTGGTCCGTGCTGAGTGCAGAACATACCGCTAGATCCGCCAATAAGACGAGGTCATTGACGACCTACGATATCGGGGACGTCGGAGTTGGGGAGTCTGAGAGATCGAATGAAGTGACGAGGTTTCCTTATCTTTCCCCTAATCCCAATTATAAAATGATTTTATACCTTGGTGTAGATTGTAACCCAAACTCGTGGGTTAAGTTTAAATAAGAATTGTTTGTGTTCGAACTGAAATCCTGTGAGAAGTTTTGCAAGGCTGCTGTTGTTTATTTCTTAAGCGAACCACACGAAGTTAATCGATTCTCTCTCTCTTTTTTTACGTCATGTCTGGCGTGCCAAGATTCCGAAACACTCGGGGTATTAAGAATAACTCCGCGGTCCTTCCAATAATATCTCTTTGGAATAGTTATAGACTCCGCAAGCTTGGGTCAAATCTGTCCCGCCAGGAGGATGCCAAGACGTATGAATCATTGGTCAAGAATCTTCCATCGTCTCTTCGATGCCGCTCTAGGATTTAAAAATAGACTTTGAAGGATTGCATCGCTCTGAAAGGGAACGTCTCCTTCCTGAAAGCTTTCTCACCCCCCCCAGTCGTGCCCAAATAAGGCCTGTTTCAAAATTATGTACGTTGAGAAGTGCGAGCGGGTTGCAGATATGCCCGGGAGCCCCGAGTAAACGAAGTTTTGAATCAGTGTCGTGGTATTAAGCTTCGTCGTATGATATGACAAGCTAATAGTCGTGCAGCTAGTCAAAATTCCGGTCTTTTGTGGAATCTGAAGGTTCGTTACTGTATTCACAAGAGCCTGCCACTGGTCACTGTCTTCAGCCAGATGAATCCAATCCACTTTTATTCCTTGAGGGCTGTTTTATAACTTATGCTCCAATCTACGCCAAGTTTATGGGTGGTGAGACAACTACGAGGATATTTAATTTAAAATGGAGCCCTGTGCTTTTACAAAAGAATCTGTGTTCGTTTAAAGACGCTGTTTTTCAGTTTGGAGTGTCTGTTGATTCGTTATATCAGCCGTTTCGCAGTGGCTCAATTTTATCTTCTTCAGATGCAGAGTAAAAGTACTCGTGGGCACCCGGTTGGCGATTCGTGGCCTCGGGTCTTCCAGCTGGTTGGTCGCTCCGTGCTTCTGTACTTACGTCCTTGATTCACGCTGCCCAAATTAGGAATGGAAGGCCTTGAATAGAATTTTAGACGTTGTTTATAAATACTGTAAATAGCATTCTCGGTGGACACAACTGCTTCTTTAATTTTAGAAATAATTTGAAATGATTTTTAGAGAATAGATCAGTTGTATAGCCACGGTGGTCTAGCGGTTAGAACGCTGGCCTTGTAATCCTGGGGTCTCGGGTTCGATGCCCGAATTTATAACTTGTGTTGGGCAAGGCCGTGGTCTAGGCAACACGGAGTTTTCCTCCGTGGCATCCCAACAATTACTCCATTCACACACAGAAGAAGGCAATGGCAAACCACTGCTGGATCATCTGCCAAGAACGTATATGAACAGGGCCCAGTCCGAGAAAAGGATGGAAGGACCCTGTTCATATGGACCTGTCGTCAGACAGAACACTAAAAAAAA